TAAGTTTTGCAAACTATGCTGAGAGAAGAGTATATAGCTTAGTTGTATGTCTTAAATCCTTGAACTTGAAAGTGACTAGAAATTTATACTCATCTATACTAAAAGCTTAAAAGGTAATTTGATGAATGAAGTTAAAATGATGACATAGGATGTTTAAGCCATTTGTGCAGTAAAAGAAGTTATTGGACTCCATCTGAATGAAATTCTTGTTAGTAATTATGAGACAAAACCACAGAGATTTGATCCAAAAAGTAGATAAAATCAGTTTGTATTTCTAGCTACAAATACAACAAGAAAAGACAGAATAAAAGAAAAAACACAATCAAACCAAATCATATGTTATGCTGTCATCAACCAGCTCAAAATTCATCTACGAGTTTTCTCTCTAAAGCAAAACTGGAATTCAAACACGAAAAAGACGGGAAACAAAACGATCCTAACTGTTTAAGTCATCTTCATCAGCCCCAGCAGAAGCAGTTGCAGAAGGGTCATATCCAGCAGCTCTGTCTGCAAACCTGAATTCTGTTCCCAACCCTCTTGACTGCTGCAATGTCTGAGAAAATGCCTGGTATTTATGGATATCAGCATCACTAACACTCCTACGAGCATACTTCATTGATTCCTCGAAATGAGCTGCCTTGATCTCTGCTACTTCATCATCAACATCCTCCTCCATAGCCTTAGGGTTCTCATTTTTCCTCCTATCCCTCACAATATCCTTCTCAATGTTTTCTCTAATGGCATATTTGCACGCACGCTGGCATATTTCTGTTATATCAGCACCACTAAATCCTTGGGTGTACTTGGCAAGGGCTCTGATGTCCACATCTTTGGAAACAGGAGATTTCCTCAAGCAAGCCCTGAATATTTGATAGCGAGATTCTTCGTCAGGGAGAGGGATGTAAATCAACTGATCCAGACGGCCTGGACGTAGAAGTGCAGGGTCTATAATGTCAGGTCGGTTGGTGGCCCCGATAACGAAAACAGTTTTCTTTGCAGACATTCCATCCATTTCTGTAAGGAGTTGGTTCAGTACCCTATCAGTAGCACCCCCAGCATCGCCTACGCTGCTACCTCTCTGTGTAGCAATGGAATCAAGTTCATCAAAGAACAGGACACATGGAGCAGATCCACGGGCCTTGTCGAAAATTTCTCGTACATTGGCCTCGCTCTCTCCAAACCACATTGTAAGCAATTCAGGTCCCTTGACACTGATGAAGTTTGCTTGACACTCATTGGCAATAGCTTTGGCGAGAAGCGTTTTGCCACATCCAGGAGGGCCATAGAAAAGAACTCCCTTTGAGGGTGACATTCCAAATTTCTCAAATTTCTCAGGATGCTCCACTGGATATTGAACCGTCTCTTGAAGTTCCCTCTTTACATTCTCGAGACCTCCGATATCTTTCCAACTAACATTCGGCACCTCAACAACTGTTTCACGAAGAGCAGATGGGTTGCTTGAGCCAAGAGCCGTCTGCAAGTGCTCGTTTGTAACTGCCATTGAATTAAGTATCTCGGCATCTATTTCCTCATCTTCTAAGTCAATCACATCCATCTTCTCTCTGATGCATTGAAGTGCAGCCTCAGTACACAAAGCAGCTAGATCAGCACCAACATAACCATGTGTGTCCTTAGCTATCTTTTCTAAATTAACTTCTTCAGCAAGCTTCATGTTCTTGGTATGAATACGCAGAACCTCAAGACGCCCAACTTCATCTGGCACACCAATATCTATTTCCTTATCAAATCTTCCAAACCTTCTGAGAGCTGGATCAATGCTATTTGGACGATTTGTAGCCCCGATAACAATTACATGCGCACGGGATTTTAGTCCATCCATGAGTGTCAGGAGTTGGGAAACAATCCTCCTCTCAACTTCTCCATTTGTCTTGTCTCTCTTCGGAGCAATTGAATCGATCTCATCAATAAAGATGATTGATGGTGCATTCTTCTCTGCTTCCTGAAAAGCTTTCCTGAGATTGCTTTCACTCTCCCCAGCCAGTTTCGACATGATTTCTGGTCCATTGATGCAGAAAAAGAATGCCCCAGTCTCATTAGCCACAGCACGGGCAATTAGAGTCTTACCAGTTCCAGGAGGTCCATACAACAGAATACCCTTGGGTGGTTTCACACCAATTATCTTAAACAGCTGAGGATGCCTCA